ATAAAAGGCTTCCTTTAGTGGAAGATTATTACCTTTTCTCTCTCCGCCCCATGGCTCGAATTATCATTTTTTATTTGCTCCGAGATATGGGCCACATTCAAGGCCAAACTTTCTTTCTTTTTTTTTGGTCTGGGGGGAAGGTTTTCGACTGTGTAAGTTCCCTGTGAAGGAGAACCTGCACTAGAAGGCTTTGACTTCTTTTTCTTCTGAATCTTCTTTGCAGTGTCTTTGGAAGGTGTTGCACCAGCCTTTTCTATAGTAGTGATCGAATCATCATTGGTATGTTTTCTTTTCTTGGGAGTGAGAGGTGGCTTCTCGCTATCCTGCAACAAAGTAAAATGTAAACAAGTAAGTTACATAATTCGAAATATAAAACAGGTAAAAGAGTAACAAAATTTACCTTGTTTACTTTGAGTGTTTCTTTAGCTTCCTCAGAGGCATTGGTTGTCGAAGGTTGAGGTTATGGGGTTGCTTCCACAGACCCAGTAGATGTGGTAGGCTTCACCGTCTTGGTGTGTTTTCTTTCGACAACTACAAAATAAATGTATGGTTAGAATCATTTCAAGAAGAGAGAAATGTATTTGGAGTAGCCAAGGAGCCCTTGGTTTCCACACCTTCACTTTCTGGAGTGTCCATTCTGATATGTTTTAAATTCAAGTGAAGGAAGCCTTTGAAACTGTACAAGGTGTGCTTGGTCGCAACCACTCATTTTTCGAGTTTTAGAGCATCTTGTTTCATGACTTTGAAATCCCCCTTCACGCTTAACCAATTAGGATAAGGTGGATACCAAGCCAAATAGAAGTAAGCTATAGGCAATATGGTGAATTTTAGAGGCTCTAATTGAAAAGCCAAGTCATATTAATCCTCAGGTTTGACACACAAAGGTATACTCAAACATGGGAGTTTTTCTGTAAACTTTTCCTTTAAAATCAAAGATGCATCTCGAATGGTTTGACTAAGATCAGTAGGCTTGTAGACAATTTCAAAGTACTTTTGGAATGCCTGGATCTCCTTGATGTGTCAATGCATACCTTTCTTCGTCTTGTCCTGCACAGAGGCAAAAGCTTTGGTTATATGATTATTGAAGTTAGTGACACCAAACATATTAGAGACATAATGTTCTTGCCACCAGCTTTCAAAGTCTTGAGTACAGAAAGTCGAAGGTTTGAATGGGATAAGATTGAGATGGAGGAAGCCTGTGAACTTGCTTATAATTTTCTTCGCTTAGACAGTTGTGAAATTCATTCCTTTATGACAGATGTCACTTTTGTGGCGGTACAATGGTTCATGAAGGATTTGGCAGAGTCCAAATTGTCTTGCGACAAAATTGGGTTGGTAAGTGAGTAAAATATTTTGAGTTTTCTTGGGCATAATTCTAGTAACGAGAAGTCTAGGGATCAAGAAAGCTTCCAAAATCTGGAGGGATTCAGTTTGTTGTTCAATCGAAAGGCCAGTGAGAGGTCTTGTGAACCATTCTGGGCCATGGGTTCTTTGAGCAAATGGTGCCATTGAAGGGGTAAATTTGTACCTCTTCGCAAACATCATCAGGTGCTTAGTGAAGCACTCTTTCAAGTTTTGTCCTCCATCATCCGAGGTCAAATGAACTAGTTTAGTCCCTTTGATAGACCTGTTCTAGATTTCAGGGTCAAATTTATCAATTGGGCTTGTATTCGAAAGGAAAGGTTCGAAGGTGGCATTGAGCCACAACTGAAGTAGCCAATACGGACCAGCTAGTAAAATGTTGGTTTTTGGTTCAAAGTTTTTTAATCTTGTGGAAGCCCCCCCAAGGCTCTCATATAGTCCAGCAAGAATTAGTTCGCTCAAGCAAACATCTCGATCAACATGGAGTTGGTTGGCGAAGGTTAAAAATCTTCTGGCGACTTGCAGAGATTTACAGCAGAAGACACATTGAGAAAGCCATAAAGCAAGAAAATTTATATGTTCCTGATCACTAACTTTGTCTGTTGATCCCAAGTAGTGATCAATGTAGTTGTTGTAAGTGGGAGAAGCATCGCCGAAGTCGATGGAGTCATCAACGTCCAAGGTAGGGTCGAAAGTCTCTCCTGTGGGGCGAAGGCCTGTGATTACAGCAACATCGAAGAGCGTTGGAGTTAACATTCTGCAGGGTAGGTGAAAGGTGTTATAAGTACTATCCCATAAGTACAGGGAAATTGTTAGTATTAGCTGACAGTATTCAGGGCCAAACTTCGACATATGAATCAAGTCGAAGATTCCCAGGTTTTTCCATGTTTTCGATTTCGCTTTCTCTATCCTAGCTAACCATCCAAGGTACTTCTTGTCCTCTTTCGATGGACCTGACCTAAAAGGTCTCAGAACTTCTGTGACGAAGTCTAGCTTAAAGGAAGGTTCATTTTGTTCTTTACCCTCTTGAGGAGTATTTTCCTGGGGAATTGTTTCATCTTCTACCCTAGTGTTTTCAGCAGATTTCTTACTAACTCTATGTTTACTAGCTATGGGTCTAGTCAAGTGGTAAGCAAGAAAAAATCTCTTGAATTTTGATATATCTGATACATTGGGTATATGACCCATATATCCTAAGGTATCAAAAGTAAGAATGAAGGGAATCATTACCTGAGAAGCGTAGATGGCAATTTGTTCATTCCTCAAAGATGGTGTGGGAACAAATTCTTGATTTCCAATCATAATGGGTGTTGCTACTTTGAGTAAAGGGTTGGAAGCAACATCGTCTTTGTTTTGTTTACTCTTTCCAAACTTTGATTTCTTCTGGGACGCCATTGATTATGTTTTGAAGAAGAAGAAGTTGCAGAAAAGTTTGTTGAACTTTGGAAGAAGAAGGGAGAGCTTTTGATTTGAAAAAGTGCAGAAAAAATAAAAATAAAATGAATGGTGTTAATTTATATGAAGGGAAATTGAACCGTTTTTTATGGAAAGAGGGAAGTTGAACTTTTTGAGTAGTGGGACACGCGTAAGGTGATCCTTTGCTTGATGAATGATTTTTGTAAGTTCCAAAGTTAAGACTATTCATCATAGCTAATGATGAGATTTATAGATACCCATACTGCATTAGACGTTTGGGAATCAAAAATCATTATGATAATGATGTCATAATAGTTGAAGCCGTTGATGAGTTGTTCTGAAGGTTGAAATTTGAGGAGATTACAAAAAATATGCATTTCTGGTTTCGAAATGAATATTTCTTGGGGGTAATTTGTTGGCTAGAAATTTCGACTAAGAAGAAATTGAGCTGAGTCATTGGTCTGCATATACTTAGAAAATTGTTTGGCTATTTTGTTTGTTAAAAACCATGAAGATTCGAATTCGAAATTCGTTAAGAGATTGATGGATAGTTTATAATTCGAATTGTGAAGTAAAGTTATTATTCGAAACATGGTTTAAGATTTTATACTTCGACCGTTATCATATTTTATTGGTTTTGGTGCTCAAGACGGATAACGAAGGATTTGAATTCGAATATTCATTCTTATCCAGAAGGACACGTGGAATCTCTTGGATTTTCGAAGACATGCCAGCGGAAACGTGGCATTAGTTTGTTAGGAGATCTTTAGGGTTGAAGTTCTATAAATTATAGCTTTTCTGTTTCGATTTAGTGTGTTCACATCTTTGTACAAAATACTCAAAATACTCAAAGTACCAGTGTTCGAGAAAAGAGTTAACGAGAATGTACGTATGATGCACTATATTTTATATTCAATGTCATTTACATTCAATGAAGTTCTTTTACGTTATTTACGTTCTTTACAATTCTCAGTCTAGACTAGTTTATATTTCATTACTTTTATAAAGAAGTTTCACTTTGACATGCGAAGTGATTCCTTTTGTTTAAAGAGATTATCATCAAAATATGCTTTCTAAATAATAGAACACAATAGTCCTAAGATCAATCTGATCGATCTCGTGAGTAACTGAATCTGTTAAAGAATTTAGAGGATCAACGGCTGTTTACCAAATTCCAGGGTAAACAACTAGTTATGAGTTTCATACGATGATAAGTTGGAAAAAAACTCTTGGAGTTTTTCAGCATCAACATTAGGGTCAGACAAGGGACCCATATACACATGAATTTCACCAACGATAGAAAGAGGAATCAGTGCCCGAGATTGATAGATTTTGTGCTTTTCTTCAAGCAGAGGAGGTTCAAGAACGCATTATTGGTTCCCCACCAGTAATGGCCTTACAGGTGACGAAGCCTCTTTTTGTCACTTCTTGGTTTTTAAAGGCGCCATTGTTGAAAGATTGAGGTTTGTAGATGAAAATGTTTGAGTATTTCTGAGAAGAAATCGCAAGAAATATGAAGAAAGTGAGAGCTAAAACGGAAAAATTTTAAAGTGTTAAAGGTGAAAAGTATTTATAGAGGAAAGCAAAATTTTCAGTTCCCTTTAGTTAACAGATGACATAAGTAATGAGACACGTGTATTTTTCTTAAAGGCTAGTTAGACGGTTGCCTTTTTCAATTGCCATATTACTCCTACAAGTAGGGATAATGATGAGTTTTTGCAGTTTTACACATCTCGATGAGACGTTTGAAGAAAGGTGGTCATGATGACCATAATGTCATAGTAGTAAATATCGTCGCGTCGAAGTGTCAAAAAAATATCCCTTTCTTCATATGGTCGAAAAAGACATTTTTGGAAGACAATTTATTAATTATAATTTTGACGCTCGAGAAGATATGAAATGTCAAGTAAAGTTGAAGAAAATATTTGATATAAACAAGTTGAGTTAGACTAGGAGATCAAGTGAAGACTTCAACTAAAGAATACACCTTACATTCCTGCACACTTTACATTCATGCACTCTACAAATTGTCTTTACATCATTGTCACTTTTAAAATTTTAATCTAGTCAAAGTGTCAATCATCAATAAAACATAACAAAATTAATCACATATATTGTAGGATCAATCTAGTTGATTTTGTTACTAACCAAAATATCACAATATCCAATGTGAAGAAATTATCGACAATATTCCATCATCATCATCATCTTCTTCATCAAGAATGAACATGAGGTCGCTGTCATCACCTGCAACCGCAGTCCACCGAGTCCTCCTCCTCTCACCTTCAATCCACCTCTCCACCTTCCCCACTCTCACCCCCTTCTTCCACAAACCCCCATTCTCCACCATCCGCAATTGCACTTCCATCACAGCCAAACCCTCTTCCCACTTCCGCAAAAACCGTCCCCCAAACTCCACCCCCGACCTCAAACTCACTGCCCTCCGCCAACTATTCTTCAAACCCGATGTCTCCATTGACGCATACATCATCCCTTCTCAAGACGCTCACCAGGTAACTAACTAACTAACTAATAACAACTCTCACTTTTCACTCTCCCACCCCCCAAAACCCTAATTACAAACTCTCTTTTTCATCAGAGCGAGTTCATTGCTGAATGTTACGCTAGACGAGAATACATATCTGGTTTTACTGGCAGTGCTGGAACCGCTGTTGTTACTAGCGATAAAGCTGCTCTTTGGACTGATGGTCGCTATTTTCTTCAGGTTTTTTTCGAACTGGTGTTTTTTATTTTCTTCACTGTTAGTTAATTTGATTCCACAGTATGCATATATTGTGAGTTGTTGTTTTTTCTTGTGTAGGCAGAGAAGCAACTGAACTCCAATTGGATTCTCATGCGTGCTGGAAATCCAGGAGTTCCTACTACTAGTGAGTGGCTCAACGAGGTTTTGGCTCCAGGTGCTAGAGTTGGAATTGATCCTGTTAGTAATTACTAATCTTCATTGCAAATTGTATATTTTATTCCCTTCATTAAATCAACTGTGCCTGTTTCGATTGACTTATTTGAACTTATCTACTAGCATAAGCACTGTGCTTATGAAAGTGTTTGGGAGAGCTTATGGAAATAGCTTATAACATGTATATAAACTGTACACGCTTTATTTTCATAAGCTCTACTACAAGATGTGGAAGATAGACTTAGGTGGTTTGAACATGTAGAGACAAGACCTGTAGATTCTGTGGTAAGGAATATAAGAGTAGATCGGATGAGAGAAATCAAACAACTAGAGGAAGAAGAAGAGTAGATCAGAAAGATCTTGAGCTTAACGATTTGGATAGAAACATGGTCCTGGATAGAACATTATGACGAAAGCTGATCTATGTAGCCGATCCCACGTAGTGGAATAAGGCTTGGTTGTTGTTGTTGTAAGCTCTACAAGATAACTTATGAAAACAATTTTACTTTATTTTATTTTATCTCGTTACATAAATAGCTTACACATGAACACTTATATAAATTAAGCTGTTTATACAAACAAAACTTAAGTAGGTTATCTTTTCTAATTGGTAATATCAATCCTAAGCATCCTATTCAAGTATTTCGTTTATATTTCTAGTAAAACTAAAGTCATTAACCAATTGAAACAATATTATTTTCCACTTTTTCCTAGTGTTATTGCTTTGCGTTATAATTTTCTATTGTGCCTGATAAGGTGTTATGTTCTGTATTGTTAAGGAGGCAGTTTCTTTTTACTTCCGATGCTGCTGAAGAACTTAAGCAGGTCATTTCTCAGAAAAACCATGAGCTTGTTTATTTGTACAATTCAAATCTTGTGGATGAAATATGGAAAGAAGCTAGGCCAGAATCTCCAATTAAGCCGGTTAGAGTGCATGACTTAAAGTATGCTGGTTTAGATGTTGCGTCGAAGCTGTCAACTCTGAGGTCCGAACTTATCAAGGCTGGTTCATCTGCAATTATTGTCTCCGAGCTTGATGAAATTGCGTGGCTGTTGAACTTGGTAGTGCATCTTAACACCATCTATTAACTTGATGTACTGATGGTTACCTGTATGCAATCACATATCCTTGTAAACCTTCATTCAGGATATCATTCAAGCTGTTTAGGTCTAACATAAGTTGTTCATTGATTTCTTTGCTTCCTCTGCTTTTCTCTGTTGATGGTTTAATCAGTGAGAGTAACTTTTGACTTTTTCTTTGAAGAGAGGCAGTGATATCCCACATTCACCTGTTGTGTATGCATATTTGATTGTGGAGATTGATGGAGCTAAATTATTTATCGACAATTCAAAAGTTACTGAAGAGGTGGATGACCACTTGAAGAAAGCAAACATAGAGATCAGGCCATACAATTCGATTATATCAGAGATTGAAAAGTAATTATGGAAATCTTCTTGTTTTTGAATTTTTCTCGATTCTTCCATTTCTCACATCATTTAGTAGAAATATCCAAGAGTATTATTACATTAGATACGCCGACGTGGCTTTTTAAAATAGTAGCTTTTCTTTCAGTCACTCTTTTATGCTTACTTATTTTGAGTGTAAAAGCAACACTGTTTTTTGAGCTGAGCTTGATTTTCTTTCAGTTTGGCAGCACGCGCTGCCGCCCTTTGGTTGGATACTTCCTCTATTAATGCTGCTATTGTAAATGCCTACAAAGCTGCCTGCAACAAACATTATCAGAACTACGAGAGTAAGCACAAGACTAGAAACAAAAAATCAAATGAGAACTCGGATGTACCCATTGCCGTCCAGAAGTTATCCCCTGTTTCTCTAGCAAAGGCCATAAAAAATGAAGCGGAGCTGAAAGGAATGCAAGATTGTCATTTAAGGTAACCATTACCTTGACAGTGATTATTCACATTGTTTTTCCATGTTTTGATTTCTATATTTTTATAATCTCTTTTATGGAGTTATTGCACATATGGAAACCACACATTATGTACATGAGTTATGCATTGGACGATCTCTTTCAGTTATTAAAAAAATGATTTGTAGATTTGGAAAATCGTGATAGAACTTGCGGTCATCTAAATTAACACTTACCTTTTATTTGTCAAAACATCATTTTTCCAGGGTGGATGAGGTTTATTGTCTTCTTTTACTCTGCAAATTTTAGTTGGTTATATTTTCTACTTAAATGAGATTTGTTTGTTTGCATCTAAAAGAGATACTAACAGCTTTGACGGTAGCTTCATTTTTTCTTGCCCCTGTTGACTATTCATAAATATTTGATAAGAATGTTGAATTTATGCAAAAGAGTCCACATTCTTTCGGTTAGTAATACTTTGCTTTTTTATTTTTAAAAAAGGCAAATTTACAACTGTGCTATTTTATTGTTTGCAGAGACGCTGCTGCGCTAGCTCAGTTCTGGGATTGGCTAGAGACTGAAATTACTAACAATACAATAATAACTGAAGTGGAAGTTTCAGACAAACTTATTGAGTTTCGCACAAAACAAGCTGGTTTCTTGGATACTAGCTTTGACACGATAAGTGGTACTGTAGTACATTGACAAATCTTTTCTACTTTTTCACTGAAGTATTGGTTAAAGAAACATGAAACGATACAAAATATGGGTAAAACATGAAACGATACATGATTCTGGGTAAAAAAAGTATAGGATGTCTACGAAAATATGTCATTGGTATTCCATTAATATGACACATTTACCAGTAGCTATATTTTAATATTTTTAGTATCTTCTTACATGCTTCTTGTATTGAGCTAAATAGATAGATAGATATTAGATAGACAGATATAAGCTATGGTCCAACTCATCTTCCTCTTGAGCTATAATCTATTCCTTTCATCTGATCAGGTTCCGGTCCAAACGGTGCTATAATACACTACAAACCAGAACCAGAGAGTTGTAGTATTGTGGATGCCAATAAATTATTCTTATTGGATAGTGGTGCTCAATATGTTGATGGTACAACCGACATTACACGAACAGTTCATTTTGGCAAGCCAACGACTAGAGAGAAAGAATGTTTCACCCGAGTTTTGCAGGTATTGTGCTTTTATACTTTTTCTGGTTTTTTTAATTAAATTTTTCCCAAGTTGATATCTACATTTTGTTCATTAGTATTCCTCACAAGTCTATCATGCAAATATATTACCTTTTATTTGTTTTATTGTTAACATCTCAGTCCTAGTAATCTTAATTTCTCAAGTAATTGTTAGTCTTAACACATATATCTAATTGCTAGGGTCATATAGCACTTGATCAGGCAGTCTTCCCAGAAGATACCCCTGGTTTTGTGCTGGATGCATTTGCCCGTTCCTTTCTTTGGAAAGTTGGACTTGACTACAGACATGGTATATATCTACATCCAGTGGAGGGCTGTTATTTGTTAGCTTAAAGCCCAAACGAATTTATTGATTGACTGATCATTTGCGCTTAACGGATATCTATATAGGAACTGGGCATGGTGTAGGAGCTGCACTGAATGTTCATGAAGGCCCTCAAAGTATCAGTCATCGTTTTGGAAATTCGACCCCTCTGGTGAATGGCATGATTGTTAGCAATGAGCCTGGCTATTATGAAGACCATGCCTTTGGCATTCGGATTGAGGTAATATTATCTTCAACTATCTGACACACTCTGAAATGTTAACCCTGTTTTATTGCATGTTATAGTCATATTAACTTTAACTCCTTTACCAAGTTCATCATCCAATACACTAATTATATGTATGTGGGAAAAATTCAAGAAGTAAGCCGAATTTGTGATGAAAGATGAGGCCTTTTGAGATCTGTTAAATTTTTTTAGCTATTTTCTATATTTCCTCGCTGGTTCACAAGTTTACTTTCCAGTTTCAACTTATACGCATGGATTCCAAAACATTCCATGACTTCCGAGTGTCTTAAGAGGCTTTCTGTGAATTACTTGATTCAATATTATCATACATTTCGACATTTTTAACATCACTTATCTGTGAACTGAAATGCCCTAATGGCGAATACCATCCTACTTGATCACTAAGTTTGTACATAATGTTGGTTTTCCTTTTTCTCTGCATAACTATTAGGATATTATTTGTCATTCCTATTCTGGATTAAATAATGATGACACTATTTTATCTTGCAGAATCTACTGTATGTGAAAAATGTTGAGACACCAAATCGTTTTGGAGGAATCCAGTATCTAGGGTTTGAAAAACTTACATACGTACCTATTCAGGTACGCTGTTGGCTTTCAATCGCCCTGGTCTGATATATATTGTGCTGTTACTTTTCTTCTTCTGAAAAATAAAACCTCCTGTTGTAGTTCAACATCCGGAAACTGAGGATGTTTTAATTGCATGAAGCTGCAGAATAGATTATGCTCCAATAATGTTTTATATTTTTTATGCTTCTCTATTAATATATCGGTTGCAAGTCCTTATTAAGAGGGATCTGGGGCTGACTTGGTCCAACATCGTTTGAAAGAACTTATTTGGCTTATCCTATGACATAAACACTTTTTAAGTATTTGGAAGAGCCTACGAAAGTAGCTTGTGATATGTACGTTAAGTTGTTTTTAGTTTTGAGAATTAATCTATTTTCTGTCTCTATTGCTGAGATTTGAAACTTTACCAATGAAAAATGGCAGCTCATTCCTGAAATTTTAGAATGCTTTGTTCTGAGCCATATGTTCTTTCAAACATCAATTTGTAACCTGGGCATATCCTGCAGATTAAATTGGTTGATGTATCTCTGCTATCTGCAACAGAGATCGATTGGCTTGACAACTACCACTCAACAGTCTGGGAAAAGGTATTTTGCGTTGTTTTCATGGCTTTTTTATTCTCTTTTTCCCTATCCTTTACACAATCACACTTGTCTCTAGAAGGCCATGTATCCAATGGCTTTGCTATGAAGTAATAGAAATTCATCTAAATGTGCTTTTGTAATCACCTCCTTACTACTTTTCTGTTAGTAAACTGTTCATCTGTTATGCACGATGTAAGGATCATAGGCTTGGTGGGACAGTGGCAATATATCCACCTCTGTAGTGGATTAACATGACTATAAATCTCCCGTAAGGCACAGAACAATTTCATTTTTTTCCTCCTTGTTTTCACTTCTTCCTTCCTAATTTTTCTTGAGCTCTTTTCTTGCTCGAAAAGGATTCTATCACCTCCTTACTCCGACACCCTCCAGATGCCCTTTTAAACAAGTACTCCCCCAAAATTTCTATATTGTAATCCCGTGTTGTTTGATTGTTTTTTAACTACTTTGACGCATTCACAGGTTTCTCCATTGCTCGATGGTTCTGCTCGCCAATGGCTTTGGAACAACACTCGACCCATCAACAGTGAGACAGCTTAATGATTTCATGTTAATGAGCTTGGGCACGGGCACCTGTGCTTCTCATTCTGGTGTACTCCAGATTTCATACTTTATTTGTAAGCTGTGAATAATATAGTGATTTGAGATTACAGAAATTTCTTGCAAAAAAAACAAAAAAACTAGAATTTGATAGAATAAGATTTGAGCTTGGCAGGACAAATGAGCCATTTGCATCCCTGACTAGTTATTCTTCCTGACTCATGGACAAACATTTCTAGTTACGCATAGATTATGTTCGGTTGATAACAAGAAAAAAAAACACAAGTAGTGTTTAGTTTAGAACAACCCGCTGTAAAACAGAAATGGATCGTCTCCTGCGAATTATTTCACAGGAGAGAGAGAGAGAGAGAGCAGTGGTGATCAACACCCTTGAATCAATTGCGGTTGGAATAATTGGTTTTATCATCAAAAGAGAGGACATGGACCAAACTTGTAACTTAAATGTTTGGATTTTGACATGAAATGAAAAGATGAAAAAGAAATAAAAATAACAAATATGAAAACATCTCCCATCTTATTTAGTTGAATGATATTTTTTTTTGATGGATTGAAAGAGAAATATATTCATTTTAAATGATTTTACATCAAGTAATAGGTAATGATAAGTAGAAAAGTGTTGGTAAGAATTGTACCAAAAAAATGTAATTAAGAATAAAATTAGTAGAGAAATAGATGGACAAATTTGTGTTGCAGGCCAAGTTTTATCTCTCCTAATTTATTTTATTTTTTACTTAAAATATATTTTTAGTTTCATATTTTGTCTAAATGAAAATTAAAAGTTTATAATCTTATCATCAGGTTTTTGGTTTTGTTTTTCGCAACTTTTGTTAATGATATGACAATGAAATAGTTGGAATTTCTTTTAAAATAATCACTTTTTTCAAAATTTTTTCTCTAAATAATCACTTTTCAAAATTTTTACCAAAATGACCACTTTTTAAACAAAAAAATTTCGTCACACGGAGGAGTAACCACTCTGTGTGATGTATGCATTCAATTTAAAGAGGAGGCGCCATACTCATGGCTTATCCTCCTTTGTAAAGTCATGCAGTGTGACGCATGCATGTGTTTTTGAGAGGAGGCGCCACCCTCCTTGACTTGACAATGTTAATGCAATTTTTTTAAAAATAAAATAAAAAAAGAACTAAAAATATTTTATATTAATATTTAATATTACACAACGCATTGATACATTTTTTTGAACGTCCCCTCAACCTAAGCGGGTCCCCGTATGACATAAACGGTCGCGCATTTGCCTCGCTCCTGTCTCACTCCTCTATGTTGATTTTCCTGAGGTGTTTGTGGTCTGTTCTGACTCGCTTGATTATGAGGTGCTTGATGTGATGGTTCTGCTGCATCAGGATCATACATCTCATCGATCATTTCGCTCCACTGTGATGTGCTTCCAAAGAGATTGATGCCCATATTGTTGAAGTTTGGTCTTGTTGGTTGGGACATGTGTGGGTGGTGGGGTGGTTGATAATATTGAGATGTTGAATCGTGATGGAAACGAAGCAACGATTCTTGTGGTGTATGAAATCCGTAAGATGGTTGGGTACTTCGATGGTATGATGTTTGACTATATGTAGGTTGAGTGGTATGGTAGGAAGGAGATGTATCATATGTGTCTTGGGTGTTGTGGTAGGATGAGGATGATGCATATTGTTGGTGGTGGATCGGGTCATGCTCTTGGTATTGTGTTTGTGTGTGTGGCATGAATTGATGATGAGTTTGGTTGAATGAGGTGGTGTATGGTTGTTGGGTTTGAGCGGGTTGACATTGTGGTTGAGTTTTATATTGTTGAGGGGTTGGTTGTTGGGTTTGGTATTGTTGAGGGGTTGGTTATTGGGGTTGTTGTTGGACGTATGTTGTAGCTCTTTGGCGTGGGTCAATCAAATAAGTCTCTTGAGACAGAAACAAATTTGTTGAAATTGATGTGTACCATCTCAAATATTAGAGCATCAGTTTTAAGTCATCTTGCAAGATCGGCTCCCTTAGGACCAATTCATGTCTATGTCTCCATTGACGACATTGATTTTTAGCGAAGTCTCTCAAATTGTTAAATCCCCACTGGTCGTCAACTCTGAGTAGATGTCATTGGCCCAAACATGTTCGGGGGTCGGGGATACCCTGTTGCATGCCGAACTGTAGCTTCACACAATCACTGTGGTGCATCTCCACAGTAGTGAACCTGATGAGTGCTGTTTTTGCAGTCCAGACTTCAGCATCAGGAGGGTTAATCTCATGGTCAAGATCCTTATACGGTCTCTATACAAACTGTAGAGTAAAAAAAGTTATATAAAATATTAAACTTAATTAAAATATTGAATGTGTTGTATAGAATAGGTAAGTTTAATACCTCTTCGGGTCCAACATGGTCAATAAGATTTCGGTAGACCACTATTGCGTTTCTAGGGGATTTGTTGTAATTCATCCCAGGAACAGACCACCTACATAGAAAAAATGGGTAATAAATTAATACAGTACATGTCTCGATATATAATATGTAAAATTTATGGTTTTGTAATCTTACTTTGTAGCAAAGGAGAAGACGAATGGCCTTGTATTGCGGGGGGAGAGTGTCGGCATTCTCGACCAGACCATGTCTGGAGCAAAAAAGCGCAAGAATAGAAAGAACGACTACCGTTCGATGCATTTTTACACAAGGAACTATACAGATGGGCCAAAACAGCTGAACCCCAACTATATGTGTTTATTTTATCAAATTGTATTAACAAGGGTAAATACATGATATTAACAGTATTACCCGTTGTTTCTGGAAATAAAAAATGGCCAAATAATATCATTATGTAACACCGAGCTTTCATAATTTTTTCTTGCTCGGTAGAGTTTTCGGTTATTACGAGACTACTATGATATTCTCTAAGAAGACGAAAATTAATACCTTGGCCTCTTGACCCTTGTTCAAATAAAGAGACTCCCAAAAGTTCATCGCATATGGTGTTGTCTTGGTTGACTCGGCCATTGACAGCCTTACCGTTGATCGGTAGACCGAATAACATGTACACGTCCTCTAGTGTGACTGTATATTCACCACATGGAAGATGAAAGGTGTGAGTTTCGGGTCTCCATCTCTTCACTAATGCGAGAATAATTTTATAGTCAACATAGTAATTGACTATGCTGAGTAACGGACCAAAACTGGCATGTCGTAAGTACGGTTCAATTTGAACGTCGTAAGGAACATACTCATGGACACGACAACGAAATCTTTTAACATCCTATTAAAAACATGAATTACGTATAAGAAATACAAGATTTACGTATAACAATCATAAGAATTAAGGAATAAAAAATTGTCGGCAAAAAATATGTATTGAGGAAAATACACTTACAAAGGTTTCAATGTTGTTCGAAGTTCCTCTATGTTGACCACCCATGGTCAAGAGAGACATTTTTTCTTGATTACTCTTGTGTTGTTATTGAGACTTCAAGAAAGAAATAGTGTATGAGTTATGATTGTGATGAAAATATTGGATGAATATTACATGTATTTATAGGAAAATCTTGAAGAACACTTTGCATGTAACTTATACACATAGGCGCCACACTAGGTGACGCATGCTCTTCCTTATTGCACATAGGCGCCACACTAGGTGGCACATGCTCTCATGGTTATACATAGGTGCCATTCAACATGGCTTCTTACTTTTTGCATGCATGCAAACCTGCAGCGTGACAAGGATCAGATGGCATGCATGCAAGTTTTGTTGTTCAATGACAAGCCATCCTAGGTGGCGCATGCATGCAAAAAAAGGAGAATAATCCACCTAGGGTGGCGTATGCATGATAAAATAGGAGGATAACCCACCTAGGATGGCGCATGCATGCAGAATATCAGTCTATTTAATAGTCTGTGTAGGTTGCATTACTAGTATACATCCATAACTCACAAAAAATATACCTCAACAACATGGATCATTCACAAAATTATACTATTGTTTCCCATATTAACGGTGAGACGTTCAACTGCGATAACTTAGGTTTTAATTTCCGTAATACCAATTTTATCCGCTTTCAAATAAACAAGAAATCAAGTTTTGCACGCTTCAAAGATAGAGTAAAATCCAAATTGCAGTGTGGTCCAGTTTACCAAATTCTTTACAAGTCCACATTTCTATTTGACAACAACCAAGTCAAATTTTATCAACTTAAGATGCGCGATGGCGATGATGTTCGAAATATGTTTCGAACTCATGAACAATCCGGGTTCGATGAGATTAAGCTGTATGTTTTATTACAACAACCATATCAATCTCAGGTGGTCGATCCTTCTCAAGACTTTGAAGAATAGGATAAATCTGACGAGGACAACCATCCTGAAGTCGATGTTATTGACCAAGAAGAAGATGATGAGGTAATGATTGATTTTATGGTCAATGATGACGCTGCAGATCAAGAGCATGAACCTATACCTGCAAGTCATGCGTACGATCCTTCGTTTCACATGAAAAACTTAAACTTGGGGGAAGATGAACCAACCTCAAATATCTTTCACGATCCTTATATGTAGACCGAAGGGGCCTTGAAAGTTGAAGATAAATTTCGAACAAAAGAAGAGTGTCTTAGAGCTATTAAAAAATACCACATGGAAATTTTATTTGACTTCACTGTAGATAAAAATAATTCAGGGAGGTACGTTATTTTAAGTCGTCAAAAACCAATTTGCCCTTTTCGGTTAACTGCATCTTACAGGAAGAGAAGTGATTCATGGGAAATAGGTTCCATTGATCCACTCCACACTTGCATCACCACCGTTCCGATATAGGATCATCGGAAACTTAGTTCTCAACTAATATGTCAAGAAATCCTGCCTCTTATTAGAAAAGATCCATCATTAAAGGTGAGTACAATTATTTCTCATATCACTACGAGATTCAATTATACTCCCTCTTACAGGAAGGCATTGATCGGGAGGACTAAGGCAGTTGAACTTGTGTACGGCAATTGGCAGGAAT